CATTTTAAGGTCCTCAAAAGATACCTCAAAAGTAAAAACGGAACCTTTATAGAATCACTTTGTTGTCCGTCCGTCCATCGGTCTAAGACTGCGGTCTTGTCCTGTAGTCGTAGTCGTCCCGCGATCGTAGGCTACGGTTCCATGGATATGTAAAGAATTAAAGCTTTTAGCAAGTAACGCAATCAAAATGTAGGGCCTTTTATGTCACATTTTGACACTCGCAAGCTCTCTCATCGAACCTACAGGGTAATTCCTGTTGACCTAGAATAATAAAATATTAAAAACTATTGGTAAATCCAATTGTGCATGCCTTAAGCGCATTAAAAAATACGTATAACATGATTATACCTAAATTTTTTGAAGTAGTTTAAATACACACAAGTTTTCACTAATACTTCCAATTTTCTGATAATTTTATGTCAAACTTCTATTAAAAAAGTTTGGAAAATCCAAAAGTGCATGATTCATAATGCTCATATGATAGTGTAAAAAAAGTTTAATGTGTTCTATTCGTCAAAGAGTTCCAGTAGTAGCCACCGAAGTACACTTTCAAATCACTTCGTCAAGTCCGGAGGTAAGGTCTCATTATAACTAACAAAACGAGGCCAAACTGGGTACACCCATTTCTGCTCTTCGAGGAGTTCCAGTAGCATTCATCGAAGTACACTTTCAGGTCTTTCTATCAAGTCCGGAGACAGAGGCAGATTAAATGTCAACTGCGCCCTAGGCTAACCCAGCTTCTCATCATAGCCCCTCTAGGGGCAATATTATATCTATTATAAATTAAATCTACTCATTTTGCAAATAAACTATATTATAATTTATAATACAGCTTAACAATTGCAAAATAATTAGGATACGGTACCATTAACAGGGTATAAAGGAAAAATGTGATGAATAATAAGAGCGATTTAGGAATAATCGAATACGACGACTTTTTTTTCGTTTAAAAACTTCCGCGCGCGCCTTTTTAACCTTGCGCCCCTAGGAACGTGCCTAGTTTGCCTTAAGGATAATTCGCCCGCTATTCGGAGGTAAGGTCTCATCATAACTAACAAAACGAGCCCAACCTCGGCACACCTATTACTATTACTACTCTTTGAGGAGTTCCAGTAGCGTTCACCGAAGTACACCTTAAGTCGGTGTAAGGTGTAATCATAATTGACATAACGAGCACAATTTCGGCACACTAAGTTCTACTCGTTGAGGAGTTAGAGTAGCAGAAATCGAAGTTTATCTTCAGGTCTCCATAAACTCCAAGACATATTAGTATATTTATATATAAAATCCTGCGTACTTTTAGCGAAAGAAAATATTGTAATAAAAATCTGTGATTATAAAAATAATAATAATGTCTTTCATTGATCAAGTAAGTATCAAATTTGGTTTTTGGAATATTCTGTATTTCTAAAGCGATCGATATTTTTCAGCACGAGCCGCTGTAAACAAATGACCACTCTCGACGGCAGATGAGCCCGAAGTAAAAAGTACTCTGTGGCCGGGACTGAGGCAAAGTGTATTTAGTAAAATAAATTAATACAAGGCTGCTTAAAACACCGAAAATTTCGCTATTTCTCAGCCGAAAAAAAAAATAATTATAACTAAACAAAACAAAATTAAACTGCCATTTACATTCCATGGCTTCTCACATGATAGATGAAGAGTTTAAAAATAGATTGTATAACATCAACAGTGGTAGAGCCATGCGGCAGCTTTTGCTGTCGCACGGATGGGCCGGCTCGAACCGGGGTAGTACCACGACCTCACAGAAAACCAGCGTGAAGTAGAGGTTTGCCTCTGCGTTTCGCTTGGTGAGTGCAGGTGGCCGGAGCCCCTTTTTACTGGAAATGAGGCATTCCATCTTAGTCCTCACGGGTGACAACGCATTACCATTTTGATTTGTAATAGCGGATAGATGTAGATGTCTATGGGCCGCAGCAACCACTTACCATCAGGTGGACTGTGTGCTCGTTTGTCACCCTTATCCTATATTAAAAAAAAAACAATGCAGATGCGTCGTCACCCGTGACGACTAAGATGGAATGCCTCTTTTCCAGTAAAATGGGTCTCCGGTTCTCTACACTCACCATACGAAACACAGCAGCGTCAAGCTGCTATTTGACGCTGGTATTCTGTGAGAGCGTGGTCCTTCCCCGGTCGAGCCGACCCATCCGTGCGACAACAAAAATTGCCGCGTGGCTCTACCACTATTTGTGATTCTTCAATGAGGATAAATGTAGATGTGTATGGGTCACAGCAACCACTTACCATCAGGTGGACTGTGTGCTCGTTTGTCACCCTATCCTATAAAAAAATCTTTAATTTAATGTAATTTAAAGTGTAAATTACATAATTTATCAGGTGTACTGAGAGCTCGTTTATAACCTTAACTTCTATAAAACATGCCTCGGTATTACATTACAGTGCTCCAACTGCCACTCGCTTGTCCGAACTTCTTGTATCCGACCTAATGCTTATGTAATACGATAGAAGGGTATGCTTTGATGGAAAAATAAAATATATAGAACTATTTCGATGTGTTTTAACGTTACTTTTAATTAAAATTCTCTAAAGAAAAAGTTGTTACAAAGTTATTAAAAAAAATGATGTTTATGATCAATGACATGGTTTTTAAAATGTAAACGCAGCTGTTGTCATTAATGCAGTAAATGACGAAATCTGTAAGTCATCATTTACGCGATTCTACGTCTTCCGGGGCGTGATTGACGGATACAGTTCCATACAGAACCTTTGTCCTAACAGTAGTCAGTTTTGTAAGCTGAGTACAACAATGCAATATTTTTATTTTAATAAAATTAAAATATATGTGACTTATTTTACTAAAACTAAAAAGTATGTTTACGGGATTAGTTTTCTGTTTTATTTAATTTATTGTTATATATATATATTTGTATTTGCATCAACCTGCCGTGTTAAAACGTTATATTATCTTTTTTTTAGATTTTAAAACCAAACATTTTGTTTGGCGCCCACTTTATTTACGTGGTCGATTAATTTCAACTTATCATAATATTAGCAAGTCTTAATTAAAAGCGATTTCAACTCGAAGTTCCCTTATTAAAATCTGTATTTGTTTAAATTCTTTCGTTAATGTCAACTACGAGTATTGCTATTGTAGAAGTCAGTAAGAGTGGTTCAATACCGTTTTTTTTAAAACTTTTGAGTGACAAATGAAATTACAGCTTACTTGATGAAGTGCCTACTACATTCCATGCATGATGTCCAAGGAAACTTCAAGAAAAACCAAAATTGCATGCGGGTCTTACAAAACTTAGCTGCGACCGCATGGACAGTTTCCACGAGCTTGTCATTCATATCGTCCACTGCATTGTAATCTTCTTTGCACTGAAAACGGTTTTGTAACTCGAGCTGAAAGGTTTCGAGACTTTGGATTCGTGCTCTACGAGGGTTGCGGAGCGTTGACTTCATTCACTGAACAGTTGTCGTCTGGTCGTCATAATAAAGTCAATCTCATTTTTTGTGCTTCTGGAAGAAAGAGTTCATCATAAAGAATCCCTTTTTCTCCATGAAGTCGGCCAGCTGCTGGCCCCTTGGGTTCCGTTGCCATATTCCGAATTTCCCTACTTTCAGCTCACCGTTTTCTCTTGTGCCTAGTTTTTCGTTGAAGTCTCCCATTAACACCGTATAGTGGGTTTTGGAGGAATGCATGGCTCTAGAGATATCCTCATACATTTCCTCCACCTCCTCATCGGGATGTGCCGAGATTGGTGCATGAACCTATATGACCTTCAGCGAATTTATTATTTAAGCACTACGCATTAGTTAGTGCTGGATCGCACTGTAAAATTTCAATGATTCATTTGTAAACATACTTGTACATTTGCAAAACTAAATCTAGGTATATTCCGCTGACTACACTAAAAACAAACAAATATGATAAATCAATCGTCGTAAATATGTGGATATGTATGGTATATATCTCTATGGCCAAATGTTTTAAGTCGTTATTGTATTGTATTTTATTGATTATATGCTTAGCAAAGTCACTCTGGAGACTATTATGGCTATATGGCCTAAAATATCGACGAAAGTGACGAGTCTTTAGATTTTGATTCTTAATCGATCATGGATTTAGGTTTCTATTCACTTACCACCCATCACACAGTCCACTGGACTATGTGATTTTTTTTTTGTATAATAAGGCTGTAAATAAAATTCTATATTTTAATTGTGACATTGAATAAAAACAAAGGTCGGATAATTTGAATTTATTTTGTAGGTACGTATGTAAATTCTCTACTATATTTTACAATAAAATATATTCATTTAGGTAATAAATAGTACAGTGCCCTAATAAACTTAACAATAAATTATTTACAGTTGTCCTAAGGTATAAGTTGTATCGTTACATAGAGATGGGTCTTTTTTGTAACGAGATCATTTATTTAAATAGAAAAATAAAAAAACAGATTCATTTAATTTACCTATAACTGATATTTTGTTTATTTTTTTACATCCCTGCCTTCTGTCACAATGGACGGTGTAGGAACTATTTATTTCAAAGGACCGTGCTTTTACCACTATTGTAATACTTTGGTAATACATTATAGACCATTACATACCTAAAAATGTTTTACCACTACCAAAAATATCAATGAAATTGTTAAAAAGATTTGAGTATATATATATAATCTAATGGTTTTGCTTTCAACACGTTATATTTTAGAAAATAATTATTTATTAACAATTCTTAAAAAAAAGATTAACAGCTTCTATACAATAGCAAAATTTATAAATAAAGTGATGTCTTTTGTGCATTACATAATTTGCTACTCGTTCGTCTCAATTACAATAATCAACAACTTAATTCTCTATAATATATTTACATAAATTTACAAGCTAACGGGAGTATTAACACCCTAGGACAAAATTTACATAATTATTATATTCGGTGCTTCAACGTTCGATAAGAATGATTTTAGTCGAGCACGTAAACATAAATTTTATAAGTTGAAAAATCAACGATCGTGTTTAGTTAGTTGTAAAGGCAAATCACTTGAGGTCAATGCTCTTTGTCGACATGGGCTCGGAGATCTAGACCTGGTCTTATTTTTCTGCCTGTCGCCATCGTCTTCGCTCTCATCGTGAACATTTATCTCTTCGTCGGAATCAGATTGTGATTCGTAGCCTCGAGCCAGTTGAATGGATTGAGCAGCAAGAAGCGCTGCAGCGGCTGAATGTGGTACGAGCGCCTTGAATGCGCTGTTCTCTAACGCGGGATGGGGCTTAAATGTACTGACTTCAAAGGGTGTTTGCGACAATGCTTTCAGTGCGTTGCTTTCTAATTGCGCTTGATGAGATAAAGCTTTCAAAGCATTTGTATCTTGATGCGATAAAGCTTTAAAAGCGCTATTTTCGCCACCCATTTGAGGAGTGTGATAAGAACCTCGTGCAGGGGACAAGGAACGTGAACGGGATCGGGAGGGGGAATGAGGAAGGCGGTGCGAGGGCGAGCCGCCACCGCGCTTGAGAAGGTTCATGCGCTGGTGGCGTCTCCACTTGGCTCGTCTGTTGGAAAACCAAACCTGTCAGTAACGGTAAACAAGGGTGATTAGTATTCTGTTCTCGCAGTGTTAACAAATTCATATATGTAAATGGAAATAAAACGATAGCTCTGATTCGATTAAGCAGAGTCTTGTTGACTTTTTAATTTTACGTTTTATTAATCGGTTTCTGAGACTATAAATATTTTATAATATCTTTTAATTTCTTGAAATACGTTCATAAATAAGTTTTTACCTGTACACGGGCTTCCGATAGAGATGTTTTTGAAGCTAATCGTTCTCTGGTCGAGACACACGGGTAGTGAGATTTTTCGAATTCCTTCTCAAGTTCTTCTAGTTGATCTGGGCTGAACGTGGTACGGTTCCTTCGGAATTTCGGTTGCTCTCCATCTAGTGACCCAGAATCGTCACCATCAATTTCTGTTGAAAAAAAATAGTGTTAGTTATTTTATGTATAAAATACTAAATTACCAAATATCGTGTAAATATTAAATCAGAAGTTAAATTCTGTAAAGTAAAATATAATGTAAGTAGTGTTCACTAACTTGTCTCATACTACGATAAAAGTTAACAAATCTTGACATAATATAATAATAAATAAATTTTCTAAATGTAATGTACAAGCAATATTGATAATAGTCTTTAGCATAATTAATAATGTCCTCCAGAACAAATTTCGGTATATATTAAAAACTCGGTATATAATAAAGTCAGCATCTGTACAGGACCTATTTTACTGGAAAAGAAACATTCTATCTTAGTCCTCACGGCTGACAACGCATGATAGATGTCTATGGGCCACAGCAACCACTTACTATCAGGTGAACTGTGTGCTCGTTTGTCACCCTCATTCTATAAAAAAGGACAGGACTACATTGCACGAGTGTATTCTATTGTTATTCCCTTTTTCTTACAGTCCGATGAGACTGCAACCCGACACACTCATAATGTAATTATATTTATTTAAATATAATTCATTACGAATGTTGGACACACAATTTCAAGTTTTCCGAGGCACGTTAGTAAAACATGGACAACTTCCTGACTCCAGGCTGCTACTGAGGATTTTTTGGCAGCAGAACCTAGTATGATGACTGATTTTAGCCTGTTTTCACATGTCGTTCAGTAGATCATCGAGACTGTCAGGCAACGTAATTAAAATAAAAATATTAAGTGAGTTCTTACCCACTAGACCACGCCCAGACGAAGATAGAAATCCTTGTTGGATAGCATCAGAATGTTGCATTCCTACAGCTTGAGGCGGTACACCCGGAGGTAATGGTAGACCTCCAGGCGGCCACACTCCACCACCTCCGCCCCAAGGAAATCCACCATAAGGAGGTGGTGCCGCGTAAAGCCCGTAACCTGCGGCCCTCGCAAATTCTGCTGCAGCTCGTTCCGCGGCTCTGTTTCTGAGTATTCTGTTGATGGATGATACGCTGGGTGCAGTTGCATTTGTACATACACCTGTAGAATATAATTGAAAATTAAAAATTTTGTCTCTTTTTCTTGCAAAATCTTTTTACTTGCAAAATAAAGGGTATATAATTTGTTGATTTAAAGTAAAAAAGTAAAGTTGCAGCCTATATACGTCCCACTGTTGGGCACAAGCCTCCTCTCATTTCTGAGAGGGTTTTTTAGGGCAAGGAAATGTCCGCCGCGCTGCCCCAATTCATGTTGGCGAACTTCACATGTCTTCGAGATATATATTTTTTTATTTATTTTTCAGACATGCAGGTTTCCTCGAGATGTTTTCCTTCACCGCCGAGCACAGGTAAAACAGCACTTAAGATTGCAATTAACAATTTCATTGGTGCCGGCGGGGTTCGAACCCGGGTTGCTCGCGTATTTGTTGATTTACCGGTGGTTTAATAATTGAAGTACTTAACACCTCATAAGAGGTTGAAAGGAAAATTTACTTCTTTATAGGAATGCGATTTGTTTCGTTTACGCACGCCCTTAGCTTTCGGTTCACAAATAAAATACAGTAGATTCTGGTAGATCCAGTTTAAATTTATTTAAACTGGAATCAGTTTAGATTTTGTTTTTTGTATAGTATCTCATGAAGTTTTATAATATCCCGTAACCATCGTTTTATGGGTTGATGTAAGGATGACAAAGAAGCAAACAGTATAGTTTTTCTTAATATAGGATAAGTGTGACAAACGAGCATACAATCCACCTGATGGTAAGTGGTTACTGTGGCCCATAAACATCTACATCTATATCATGGAATGCCTCTTTTCCAGTAAAAAGGGTATTTGGTTCTCTACACTCGCTAAAAGAAACACGGCAGCGTTGAGCGCTATTTCACGCTGGTATTCTGTCAGAGTGTGGTCCTTCCCCGGTCGAGCCGACCCATTCGTGTTACAACTATACTACTAATATAGCTGCAGCATGGTTCTACCACGTAAACAAATAGTTAAGTGCATGATGAGCCCCAAAAGTACCTACAACTATTCTTGATTAAGAATAAATAAACTGGACAAGTGCGAGTACGACTCGCACACTGAGGATTTCTTGTAAGCTTATTTATACATAGAGACTAGCGATCCCCCCCGGCTTCGCACGCTTGATTTCTGGATCTCGACAAAAACGCCACCTACTGCATCCAATTGTGAATCTAAAGCATTCTCTAATCAACTTAATCTAACACACATACACACACACACACACACACACACACACACACACACACACACACACACACACACACAATATCCAGCCGTTTAGGAGGAGTTCCGTCACATACACACGGACAGAGTAATTATATTATATATAATATGCATGTATTATATATATAAACCTTTATATGGAATCATTCTATCTATTGATGAAAACCGCATCAAAATCCGTTGCATTGTTTAAAAGATCTAAGCGTACAAGCAGCGGAAACCGACTTTGTTTTATACTATACTAGCTGACCCGGCGAACTTCTTACTAGGCAGTACAGTGGATTCTTTAATATTTTTTTTTATACTTATTCTGATATTCGGGACACCGGGTCAGCTAGTAAGAAAAAGAAAAAAGAAAGTTGATAAGTCAACAATTACATTAAGTATGTCAAAAAATAAAAATTTTTTTTTTTTTTTAATAATAACTAAAAATCACAATGAAAATTACCATTTCTGATTTCTTATTATGATACCTACACAAATATTGACATTAATATATATATACTACTATACTAACGTCACTCAATTGTTTTGCCTTCCCGGAAACCCTCCACTAACACTTAAACTTTATGGTATGGTATTAAAGTTCAAATTGACTGTTAAGTATTATTACGACTCTTGTATGGGAATATAGAAAAGTGTTGTTTTTAGACTTTTCTAGGCAAGTTTTTAAATTTTTCTCTCCGTAAGAACCATCTTCGTACTTCAAGGTATATCATAAAAAAATAATTAGCGAAATCGGTTCAGCTGGTCTCGAGATTTGCGCTTAGCAACACATTCAGCGATTCATTTTTATATTATAGATAGAGAAGAGATACTTCATGCGTCTCTGGAATCCGAGAGTCTAGTCTGGTCTGGATTGAAGAACAAACGGATATTTAACGACTTCCGGTATATTTTATTTACTTGTGCTGTGACAGCTTCATTCTTGACAAATTTAGTGATGAGTGATACATGTCAAAAATCAGAAGCTATTTATTTTACATCTATATGAGATCGTAGAACGTATTCGTTATTATTTTAACTTGATACCTCAATCCGTTCCTGTGAAAAGCACAGACATACGGACAGACTAACAAGAAAGTTATACAATAAGGGTTCTCACCCGTCACAAGTGAGGACGAAAATAGAATCTCAGTAATATCTCTTCTTACTGGATTTCATTACCAGTAAAAAGAGATTTTGTCGGGTTTGGCGCAGAGATCTGTTGGAAAATCAAGTTGTTGTTAACAAAAAGTGCGCTTTTCAATAGTTTAACATTAGTTAAACGGCTACTGAGATGTCGTTCTGCTAATTGTTACCCCAGATAGTCTAAGATAGGGTTGATCTGTTGGTAGAATCTTGTTAGATTCAACCAAAACACTGTTAACCTTGGGACACTTCACAATGTATCTCATCTCTGGTGCCTGAATAGTTTCAAATTTTAACCGTATGTACCGCAATATTTTTTACAGCCATGAGGTATTGATGAATAGACGACCTGGTAAGACAAGGAAGTCGGTGGATGCAGGTGGCTCAGGACCGTCCTTTGTGGCAATCCTTGGGCGAGGCCTATGTTCAGCAGTGGACTTGTGAAGGGCTGTATTGATGATGATGATGATGAAGCTATTTCTGATATTTCCCGATTATGACATCAACAGTTAATGCACATATAATATGAGGCGATGGATTCTCAGACGCTGTAACCTTCGTCTAAACCATTATAAGCAAGTCTGACGTCTATCGCACCTGATGGTAAATGGTGAGGCAGCCGAAGATGATTAAGCGACACTATCTTAGCTTAACAAAAGCCTATTCACTATAATCTTATGTCTATCTAATAATATATTAATTCATTTTAACTGCAGTAAATAAGAGAGAAGATCAAGAGAAGATCTCAAGAGTTGATTGGTTCACCGTACCACCTATAGTATTCGATGGAGTTGTAATCCCTTACTTTGACAATGTCAAAAACCTTGGTATTTATATTGATAATTCCTTAAATTGGATACGCCAACTGAATGAGGTAAGTAAGAGAACCTTTGTCGCTCTTTGTTCACTGCGTCGCCTTCGATCATTTCTTCCCATTCCTACAAAAATTATGCTCGCACAGTCTCTTCTCCTTCCGATCCTCGACTATGCTGACGCAAGCTATGTAGACATAACTGAGGAGCAGCTAAATAAGCTTGAGAGACTTCAAAATACTAGTATTCGGTTCATATTTGGATTGCGCAAATATGACCATATTTCCCAATTTCGCTCACGTCTCAAGTGGTTACCTATCCGACTTCGCCGGAACATGCATATTCTTTCTATTCTCTACTGTGTATTATTTCATCCTTCTGCTCCTCCCTATCTAAAAGAGAAGTTTAATTTTGTGGGGTTTCCGGGAGAACCTCTACGCTCTTCTAGAAAATTAGTTTTAAGGGTACCAACTCACAAAACATCGTTTTTTAATAAATCGTTCACTGTCGAGTCTATTAAGCTTTGGAATGCCCTACCTTTGCACATACGTGAAGCACAATCTATTGTAATCTTTAAGAGACTACTTAAAGAACATTACTTGTCTCAATCGTCCGGAGACCGTTAGGATAATTATGTGATTATGTATTTATTGTATTTATCAGCTTTATATTATTGTTTGAGGAAATTTGTAATTTATTTATGTATTTTTGGGTAGATATGTAAGTTCGTTTATATACTCTTATATATGTATGTTTATGTATGTATTATATGCTTTACTTTATCTTTTATTATGTATTAGTAATTTATATCATCTCATGTGTTAGTTATTTATATGTTATTTTATTGCATTTATTATATATTGCACCACCTACCCAGTATTCATTGTTTATTCCTTTATACCATTGGTTGCCTGGAAGAGATCGCTATGTAGCGATAAGGCCGCCAAATTGTACATTTAACCTATCTATTGTTATGTAATTTGTTTATTAGTTTGTGGTGTACAATAAAGTATTTTCATTCATTCCGTCATTCATTCATTCATTCATAAATAATTTTTCCATATTTGTTTAGAACAATATTTGCTTTTTAACGTTATATAATGGCGTTATTGCTATAATTATTTTAATATAATAAGAGTTGTTAACTTTTGAATTTATGTTATAATAATTTGTTTTCAGTACTAAGTTCACTTCAATTTGCTACCCGATCTTGAAACCTAAGGTTATATACATCGACTTTTACAAGTACACGAACGATACAGTGGCATAATTATGGTAGTCAGTGATATTTTCTTAAGCAAAGTACAGATAATTGTAATGTGCGCATAAAATGAGTGACCAGCAGCGCGTTAAAACCGATGCGTCATTCATTGGTCGCGTTTTAAAATCGTTCGCCATTATGTCCAATAAAGCCTGTGTTACACTTGCGCATTCTTTCTTTTTAAAATAATTTAAAAAAGTCATAGAATGGATATAATTTATACTTGCGATTGTTGTCACTTGGTGAAATATTCATCTTTATTTTTGTGATTTGGATGTACACTAAGTACTAATACAAGTGTATATTATGATGTTTATTTATCATAAAATAAATTTAATTTTTTAATGGTGTCCTCAAACTAAGAGCTTCTTTTAATAACTTTTTTTTAAAGTTGATCAGTAGTAAATAAGTAGGTATCAAATAATATGTAATATGTGCTTAAGTTTCATTAATTCCGCTGGTTTATGCTGTATTGTTATTATATATGGGAAGTGTTATTAGTTCCTAGTTGCCTTTTTGTATTTACTTAGTTTTTAGTAGATAGTGTTAAATTGTAAAATAAAATACATATTTAATATCTAGTCAATA